TACTGATTGAACCTGTAATCATAAAAAATTATATTGGAAAGAGCCCACGCTTGGTTAGTGCTACAACGTAGTGTAATTCAAAGGGTAGTTTTCATCAGTTCATTAAGGCTTCGGAAGAAAACAATTGGTTCTTCAGTGGTCCGAAATGAGATAATTAGATCTCTTTGTAGATAAATTTTACTATCAGTAGTCTGGAGTCAAATCTCTCAAGTGAGAAAATATGAGGTGGTGGGTTTGATTTGGTACAAGTTTTTAATTTCTCAAATTATGACTGACCGGGATAGTACCTGTTGATCAAATGAAAAAGACAGGCGTGTGAGCAGTATCGATTTTTGTGAACATTAATCACCGAGACGTGCAAACATAAACAAATATGTGACGCTAAAATCAAGATATAATTTGGTCACGTTTTTAGTCAATATAAATGATAACGCAGAATTGTGGTCTAATTCGGTATTAGTACGTTTACCTTTGTTACTATGATAAAAGATCTAGTTCCAAAATTGTGTATTTGTCATGGTGTGACTACCCAATCTATAGAATGTTACGTGGAAGTCATATCATTGTCCACAAAGGCTCGCCCCACATGACGATCAGCAATATGATGTTTAGCGCTTTTGAAGAACACGTTTGGGCTTAGGACAGAATGATAAATTTAGTGTGAATAGAGATAGGTTACACAGAATGACCACGCCTACAATGTTGGGCTATATCATGCCGAATAATTGTTCCCGCGTTCGCCATATTTACCTACTCTAAGTTTCACATGTTCAATGCAAACTTTTTCAGTAATTATATTCTCGGCTTCAAAGATCGTGTGGTTAGAAACCAGTGCGACTAAAGTAATACGAATACAATGAAATTGTGAAAACTGTGAATATTTACGAAAATTATGTACATAATGAGTCTTTGTTACTAATTTTCACAAAGTGAACTGATATGGGTTATTATTTAAATCGTCGAAAACAAATTTCATGATTAACTAAGATATACAAATAATTTATGTTGGCAGATATCCCGATCCAAGCATAATTCGAACTTATTTTCCTTGATCTCGTTTAATATGTAATGTCTAGGTGCGAACAAGCGAGACAAATATCTGCCACTCACCGTAAATGTAAGGTTGAATGATATCTTCAAGATCAGATTGAATGCAAATTTTATAAACCACTTCAAATTACTGAATAACCTATCAATCAACTCAACGGTATTCATATCAATGACATTGTTGAATAATGTTAGCATCCTTTTTTGAAGTTTATAAATTCTTACGGAAAGTAGACTTTTGGAGTTCATGAATGATATCTGTCATACATAAAACATAGCTAGGTTGCTGTTTTAAGCCGTCGTTCACGAAACGTCCATTCATATATATATATATCATCTGTGTGTCGCATGGAACCCACCATTTTTCCAGGTTAAGAGCTTCAAACCTCATATCAAGAGTTATACTAGTGAGGTACTGACTTTAAATCCAAGTTACATGTCAATTTTTTCAAAGAACTACCGAATTTTACCTTCGAGAAATTGATAAAATTTCGTTCTTAATCTAGATGTTCACTTAATAGCTTAAAAAGAGTATCTGCATTTCCTGTGCATGACAGAAATAGTGGTATTTTTAAAAATGACTCAAAACACTTTCAGCACTTCGAAAACAATAGTTTTAGATTTTAAAAGTACTGAACTGAAATTGTTAGTTAGCTTTAAAGATTTTTTCAGTCACAGAACAATTATATGTCATACGTGCATACCCTATCTCTCAGCGTACAACCACTCGGTGTATTAAAAACTCGTTTCACCCAACATAATTCCACTGACCGATATCTGGGATTCAAATTTAAATTTATTCCATGTTGAACCATCAAGTTTTGGAATATGACGTCCAGAGTCGGGATTTAAATAGAAAACAGATGTCTGGAGATCAGCCGGACGAATATAACAGGAATGGATGCTCAAAGTTATAGCCCCAGTCAAAATGCTTGAGATAGCATATAATCAACACGCAACAGGTTGCCTTCATAGGTTACACAAACGTTGAAGTTTTACTCAAACCAATTAGTTAAGGCGCGCTTTCATAATTATATTGTACTTCGTTATTAGTACTGCTCTAATGATAGACCTAATCCTAAAACTAGATTTGTTATGGTGTGACTACGTAATCTATAAGTTCTTACATGAAAGTCACATCATTGTCTACGCTGACTCGTTCTCTCGTAAGAATCACCAGTATGATGGTATTCACTTCTGGAAAGCACATTTAAGCTGGAGATAAAACAATATATTTAGTATGAGTTAAAGTGATAAGATACATAAAAGTGACCACGCCTACAAGGCTGACTCATGCCATCCGACTGAATTGAATTATTCCTTACCGCCTTCCCTATTGATGGAGTTCTATTCCTGTTAATTGTTGAGTATTAACTTTCACAGTCACCATATTCAGCCTAGAGTATTGTGTGGTTAGGACCAATACCACTACAACTTTGCCTCAACAGTTCATACACGCTTTGGGTGGTTCTGCACTGCCCATTCACTTTTACTATCGACCGTTTCAACCTAGTAAAATTTTAGAGATTATGATCATGTATTTCTGCTGAATGGACATTCTCTGAAAAGATCTGAAAAATATTATTCATAAAAGGAGGGTTCCAAGGGAACCGTTACAAATAATCAGACAAGTTGCTGAATTTTCTAATCGATTTCTTTACTCTGTCTTCTTCGTGCTTGTGTGTTTGCAGATATTTGTTTACGGACTATCGATAGAGGCCATCATCATATTTCTAATTGTGCAGGCGTTTGGTTTATGTGATACATCTATAAGCATACCAAATAGTCTTGAGAGTAATGGAAATAAATATTTTCCTTAACACACTTGTGCCTTCTACCATTTTACTATCGTTCTGCAGGTGTTATATTGTGTCCTCAAGAGAAAAACCCAGGTTTTTTTCCTTAAAAACCCATCAGAGGTCTAGTAATTGTGAAGGTTTACATGACCTCTGTATAGTAATTTCTCACCTAGCCTAACCCGTTCAATGGAGAATAATAGTAACAGCCCCCACCATATGGATCGTATGCTTCAGACATACGTGGTTTACAGACAAACAGACCAGACCGTATCAAAAATTTAAATGCAAACCGATAATTATACAAGATCAAGTCAAAAGTTGCCGTGAGTATAGGAGACTGTAACTAGTAAAGTAGGACTAACTGAAGAATGACAAGTCATATGACGGCAACCAACAGATCAAATGACATCTCATGATAAAAAGAAATATTGGTAACTTTAACGGAATTTCTTATAAAATATTCCACCAAAAATATAAATGTGTTTCATGTAGTGTAGAAACGTAAACTAAGTCTTTATTATAAATAGAGGAGAGTTAGGCTTCAAAGCTTTGTACGGACAACAGGAGAATTTATATAATGGATGGACCAACAGTCTCCAAATGAGAATACCACATGATACAATCAATAATCTCCCAACAACGAGTGAAAGCGATTGACAAAGAGAATATATATGAATAAATGAGTGCTTATGCATCTGAGTCGATCAAATCATATTCGCCTCCCCGTTCACTCTCACAATTCTCACTCAGTAGCCAGTTGGAGGCCTGTGTATAGGACTTTTTTCGGTCACATTCAACGTCGAATATTTCGCGCCCTTATGTAAATAATTTCGTATAGTCACTAAGTGATCTGGTGATGAAGAAAATCTGGAAGACTTCAGCTGGTAGTCTCCCACAAAACTGACTATAATTTTATTAATTTTGAATGTTTGTGAAGTCATTTATGGTTGTTTTTTATTTACCAACTCGTCGATATCAAAAAGTAGAGATTCGTCTTCAAATGGGTGTTATTGGTTTCCTGAGAAGGTTCATAGATTTAATCACGTGAACGTATTTCCAACTATAATTTTAAAACATTCATATTGATGTCGAAACTTTCTGCTAGTTTTCGGACAACAAAAACAACAAATGATAAACAACAGATAGCAAGCGTTGTACTCTGAAGAAAACCGTGATGCAAGGAGAATCATGGGGGGTAATAAACCAACAAACTTTGTTAACATTGATTTAGAAACAAATTATTTCAGAATTAATGATAATAGGTGAAGAAACCAGACGAAGAATACAAGGCATAAAGTACTCACATAATTTAAGCACATACTAATTTGTTCGTCACCTTCTCTGTAGATATGCAACTGAAGACGTGTCATCATAGTTTCTGGATCGGTTATTTCTCAGCAGACCATTATAAATCAAACGGCGTGTGACTATCAAGTAAGTTCTATCAGCATTATAACTATATTGTTTTCATGAGAATTTGTAGGCCTCAGCAAATGCACGCGTCTAATTTTTATGTCCTCGTATTTATAGGCTTGTGCCTCTTGTGTGTGAATGACTATCACTACTTATTTTACATAAGGCCTGTCCCATGTGCTTAACAGGGATCATTTTTTCGAGCTATATCAACAATTCTAATAGTTGGGTTCAGTGAGTTGGGTTGCTAACATTCTCCAGCCTGCTTCTCCGCTTCCTTCCTCGTTGTCTGTCTGCAGCAACGAGTGTATGAAATGTACTTGTTCAAAATTTATTCTCGTATTTGACTTATTTTATTCCATTAACAACAAACGCACATACAGTCAATAACTATATGCGAAGGTAAGCAGGATCTATATTTCGTTATCAACATTGTACGATAAAATCAGAGCGAAATTAATGGGCTTCATATGGTTCAAATGGTTGTGGACGGAATAGAAGAAGCCTACACTTGACGTGCTTCTGTGCCTAGTAATAGTGGATCAGATTGTCAGGGATTAAATTCGTAAGTACTCGCGAAAAACTCAAAGACTGTTTTATTGTCATAACATCTTACACCTCAATCTTTTATCATTGAACAGGTAATTTTGTTTTATAGTACTAATCAGTACTTTTGACATGACTACGTCATTTAACCTTTTAAAACAGTAAATAAAATATAAATTAATATAAGTGACACTAATGGATATCGATCAAAGCAAATATTACATTGAAAGTAACATTTTCTATTTTTGATAAATACGCATAACCTAAAGGCGAGCAGATTCCTGAAGATGACAATGCATCTTCTATCGTATCGGTGAAAATCGAAGATTTACCAGATACATCGAAAGATGATGAACTTGATCCGCTTGTCTTGAGAGTGAAGGAAACAATAAAAGACTCAGAAGCAAAGGTAGTCCTAAAAATTTTACAACTTTGTGGTTTAGGAAAGATTTGATGGACTCTCTTTTGATGTTTATTCACAAGTTTCTCCACCATCTGTTGATCAGTTCCTACGTAACTACTTACAAAACAATGGACTTTTTGAAACTCTCAACGTTTTCCAGGCAGAATGGTTTGATATATTTGCGATTTCGATTTTTAGGTTCAAGTTTATGCATAAAGGTTTATTGAATATAGAAGCTGCCCCTGTTCCTGATATTTATATACAGAACGATGAGCTAAGAAATATAATAAGTGATGTAAGATCGGAAAATCTAGCTTTGAAGGATTCAATTTTGTAATTATTATATACCAAATAATAATTATTTATTCCTATGTAGGAAGCTAGATGATGAATTGAAAAAAGTTAAGAATGAACGAGATTATCACATGATCAAGCACAGACAAACGTTACAAGATAAGGAGAAGCTACACTGTGACATAAAAAGGTACATGGATCAGTTGTTGACCATTTCTGGAACGTCAATCAATTTGCATAATACTTTATTATTTTTCGTGTTGTAATCCTTGTCTTCTTCAAGCACTACTAGAATTTATATGGTTTTCTTACCTTATACACTTTTCGATATATATCTTAATTCCTTGGACATGATTAAGCTTCACGTCTACAAAACTCTGTTTACAAGATATATCAAACTCATCAGTCTCGATACAATTTTATTTACTGGCAAATTTAAAACTATCTTACATGGTTAACTTATGACGAAAACTTTCTCCATACGCAAAAGACCATAGTTCGCATTATGATAGTGTTATCTTTTCCCGTAAATCACACGTTAAGGCGGTAAGACTACAATTTGTGGCTCATAAACCAGGCCACAGCTCTTTCCTGCCATATGCAGGGATACTAAAACCTATGGCTATACAATTCATCACCACAGTAAGAAAAAATTAGGACTGTTGAAGGGCTATTCTAATGAGGTCTTGGATGCAACGACCATAATGTTTTTACGGGGTTTGCGCTTTTGACCCGAAAACTAAACGTTTATTTCCATTTCCTAGCCTGGATGATTCCAAAACGTATTATGTAAGTAAGCCATAAATCTTAACTTCATCTAAAAACTCGAATTTCGGCATCCGAATAGTACTAATTTCACTCATAATATATGTTTGGCTCAAAATAGATCTTATAAACGTCTGTCTGGTAAATGACTTACATTGCCGTAGTCTTGAAGTTGATACACGGAAATTCATCAACACCACCTCGAACTAGGATCGGAACAGTTTTTGCTACCTAATCTCTTGCTTGGTTGTCATCAAGGTAGCGATTGACAAGAAAATGCATTGGTATAGGTTGCCGAGTTAAATTGGTACGACGAAATGAAAATAAGAGGATGAGTACCGTAGGAGATCGAAATAATGTAGTAGCATTGGTAACTATAGAATTTAAGTATTGCCAATATAGTTCAGAAAGACAGAGTGAAAAGGTATTTTCAAAAAATGATGGGACTTGAGATCAAAGGATGATGAAAAGTGAATACCTATGAACCATCGCGAATGATTCTGAGTCATGTTATCCAAAATCTCCAACTCGCAACCGCAAAGATCACGTATGTCCCGGTCAAGTAGTCGAAATTTAAAAGCATACCACTGCCCAATAGTTAGTGAATCCATAGATTGAAGCTATGTCCTAGTTTTCCAATCCTCGGTTTCCTCTCAACATAAATGCAAACCAACTATATCTCGTGTATAGGTAGACAGTGGTTGAACATAACTTACACATGTCTAATCCACCTCAGTTTTATATCGTTTTCTTGAGTGTCCAGTTATTATATCGGGATACAACACTCAGTAGATAAACATTCACGACCTCATCATTTGTTGCCTTTTTATAGTACCTTGCATTTGGCATCAAAACCACTCACTTGGTCATTCTACTAAACACAAACAACACTTTGAGAACAATCATGATCGAACGTCTCCGGACGATGAATGCCTTCTACATCTGTGGACCATGTTTCACAAATAGAAAGCAGTTAAATGAATGTTATCCTATCTACTCCACAAGAGAATCAAGTTCACAAGGATCAACTGATCTTTCTAAGTTCCATCCCAAATATTAGCTTATTATGGAAATTGCTTTTAAACCAAAGAGGTTCAATGTAACTATTAATTTATAAAATTCTTTATTTATAATTATTGTTTTAGCTCTAATGTTTTTTTTAAAAATTATTGATTAGAGTAAAAGAACATTATGCTGAATATGAGCCCATCTTAAGATTATTAAGACAAAAATATGAAACAGCAATGAAAGAGAAAACATTACATAGAATTGAACGGGATAGAGCTATGAACCAAGTAGAAGGACTTCGACATGCTTTAAATTCATTGCAAAAATTAGGTATAACGTCTGATGATGCCAACGATATTGAAAATGTTTATTTGGATAATAAAAAAACCGAGAAAAGGTTGGAAAATACAACAAGTAAACAGAGTAAAAAAAAAACTGACCAAAAGTGTGAGAAGAATTTTGTGAGGTCAGAAAAGTCTAATACCCAAGATAAGCTGAGAAATAATTTGAAAAGGGTAAGATATTTATAGTTATTTTTTTGAAAAATCTTTTGTTTGATTATAAAAGTAAATGGACATATGTAGGTTGTTTTGCAATATATACTACTCGTTTAATAAAACTGATTGATAAGAAAATATTCAGATAGATTTTATGTTTTTAAGTGGTTGCCTATTATTCTACTTTACACTCCGAAATGCCCTGGTATGGCCGAGAATGGGGAGAGTTCACTCTCCCTCTCGATATGCTCTCACATGGCCACGCGTATATAGTCTTTGCCATGGAAGTCCTATTCACGGACTCCTCGTGGCGCTATTATTGTTTACGAAATTGAGAGGACGAAAATCTAATGTCTAACGCTATAACCGAGTTGGTGGACGCGGAATATTCACCTAGGGGATTTGGAAAACCTTGATTCCAAACCAATGGTGCACATGGACTTGCTCCAGTATCCTGATGGAACAAATGGCGTATGAATCAATCGTTGATCACCAACTACCATGGGACTGCATCTCCACACGATGCTTCACTGCCTTGTGGACTAGACCTTCAGATCAAAGGCTCGAGGTGTGGCCCCCTAAGAAAACCACCTGCTTCAGTTTGGGCACGTGGGCAGTATCACAGCCCTCACACAAATATCATTTGATTTATGTGGCGCATATGTATCTGGTGCTTCCTTGTACCAATATTTATGTGTTTAAATAAATAAATAAACTATCAATAGAAATTCTGAATACATTCAATATAAAGTAACACGTAAACTGATGAGTAAAAATTCTACCCTAAAATTCATTTATCATCGTTCATTTTTTGAGTGTTTCTGCCATCAGAACTTAAAATTTGAAGGGACAACTTAATTTGAATATCTTTTTGTTTCACAACACTCCAGATAAAACCTTTACAAATACTTTTTTTCAAAGGATATCCTTTTACAAGGACGTTTTTCACTTTTCACAAATTCCGGAAGTCTGGAGTTCTTTTTTTGATAACAGAAATAAATGAAATTTCATTTTTTGATGCATCGAAATACTGTGGATTAATTGAAGTTATATATTAACACAGTTGGATTCCGGCTCAATGGTATGCAAGCTAAGCATTCGCGCGCGAGACTGAAGGTCCTGAGTTCGAGTGGTGTGTGCGGGTTCGTTTATGCTCACTGTTAAGGAGTCCCATACTAGGATGAAACGGTCATCCAGTGTTTCCAGGTTTTTCATGGTGACCTAGCTTTAACTGACTCATGAATTCAACTTTTAAAAATGTACAAATGACACATTAAACTTCTATTTAAAGTAATGATACAACAAACCATTTCATGATCACTGTACTCTAAACCATTTTTTACCAAAAAAATTGGGAGAGAATTTTTATAAACGCACTTTGTTCTTTTGTTTCATTAGATTGGATTTTGTGATTTATCGGTTGATTATAAAGTGAATCCATTGTTGGCAAAACTTACAAATCATTCGTATAAATTTACACGATTAGATAGTAGAAAATTAGATATAAGTATACATGCTCATAATGCAGCTATTAGCAAGTAAGCTCTAGGTAAAACGTTTTTAATGTACTTTATTTTGTATTGGTAAATATTAATTACTTACGCCTGTTACCCAACGTGGAGGAGCATAGGTCACACACCAGTTTTCTCCCTCCAACCCGGTCCTGGGCAATCTTTTCCAGTTCTTTCCATTTAACATTCATCCTTTTCATATATGCTTCTATTTTCCGGCGTAATGTGTTCTTTGGACTTCCTCTTTTCTGCTTCCCTTCCGAATTCCAAGTTAGGGATTGAGTCGTGATGCACATTGGTGATTTCATTAATGTATGTCCAATCCACTTACAACGTCTTTTCCTAATTTCCTCTTCAGCTGGAAGCTGGTTTGTTCTCTCCCATAAAACGCTGTTGCTGATAGTATCCGGCCAATGGATGTTGAGTATTTAGCATAAACAACTGTTTAATAATACTTGCACCTTGTTGACGATGGTTGTAGTAGTTCTCCAAGTTTCAGCTCCATATAGTAGTACTGTCATGACGTTCGTATTGGAGATTCTCACTTTGAAGTTAGTTGACAGTTGTTTTGAGCTCCATATGTTTTTCCATTATAGAAATGCTGCCCTTGCTTTGCTAATCATCACCTTTACATCTGCATCCGATCCTCCTTGTTTATCAACGATGCTTCTCATGTACTTGAATGTTTCCACCTCTTCCCGAGTTTCGCCATCAAGTGTGATTGGGTTAGTGTTCTCCGTGTTGCATTTGAGAACCTTGCTTTTTTCTTTGTGAATGTGGAGGCCTATCGATGCGGAGGCTGCTGCTACATTTGTTTTCTTTATCTGTATTTGTTCGTGTGTATTAGATAGGAGGGCAAAGTCATCTGCGAAGTCCGAATCGTTTAATTGGATTGGCAAACATACATTATTTTTTGATAATGGTTACAATTCCACAACTGTATTACTAACCCATTTAGAGTTTGAATTAAGTCTTTGAGTATTTTGATTCAAATAAAATATCATCATAATCGAAACTTATAAAAACTTACAATTCAATTCAAGTATTCTTTCAAATTGGATCTAGATCTTTATATCAGTCAACAAATGAATGTAGGATCTAGGTTAAATGTATATTTCTGCCATCCAACACACATAAAATCAATACAGAGTTCAATTTTGAATCATATAAAAGCAAAGCCATTGGAGCTAATCCATGTCAGGTAGAGACAGGTATCTACCTCAGTACAATGGAAGTTTTCGTGGACTGGTTGAGGTGAGACATTAACACCATTGGATGCCGGCTCAGTGATCTATCGGTTAAGTGCTCTGGCGTGAGACTGGTAGATCCTGGGTTCGAATTTCGCGAGGCTGGATCATGGATGCGCACTGCTCAGGAGTCTCATAATAGAACGAAGCGGCCGTCCAGTACTTTCGGGTTTTCCACGGTGGTCTGGCTTCAATTAACTCATGATCTTAACCATAAAATTACTAAAATCTCCACAAAACCCCCTTGTGATAATTAATGACTAGTTGTTTCATTGAACTATGTTGTAAAAGACTGAGTCCCGTAAAAGTTAAATTGAATGTTAATGATGAACATTAGTATCTGTATTTTGAAATCATGACGGTCTTCTTATATACGTCATTGATAAAGAAAATATGTGAAAGGACTTCATAGAAATAGAAAATGGATTAGAAGGATTCATACAATTGTGGTTCAGTAAAAGACAAGGGTCCCACTAGTTCCTTTTCAAGAGAAAGACTAAATCTGTTGACTCGAATCTTTGTAACTTTCTATTTATGTGAGAGATGAGATTAGGCTTCTTTGTGAAACATTTGAATCGTTTAGTAAATAACTTTATCTGCAAATCATTTTATGTAGCACATGATCATTATCTGTGGTGTGTGCTACAGATGACAACAGATATAAGTAGTATGTATCATCAATTGAAAGTGAAATACCTGACAGCAGAAAGTTAAGAAGTTCAAAGAGAAGAGAACAAGAATAGAGAATGATTGGTCTGATACGATTGATTGACATTTTGCAAATGAAGTATTTACTGCATGGTTCTCAGATTTTACTGAGGGATTCTGTAATTTTTTGTATTCAAATAAACTCGATTGTCTTCACTTGTGTTCTCGTTCACTACATATTAACTACGTGTGAAGAATTGAATTCCGTATTGAATCCATCCTTTTACTTCTAAACTACTTGAAGAAAATGTCTACTCTTTAGTTGATAAGTTGCTTGGGACAAATTTATTATAGTTTTCTTCACACTCAAACTTATGTTGGACAAAAACATGATGAAGATCTAAATGAAATTAAAATTTTTTACTGATGCTTTACCAAAAAATATTTATTCATGTTACTATCCTAGAACCATCAAGCTCTTACTCAAAGATCGACATGTTCAGTACCGATGCATACTGTGTGTATTGCCTTAATATAGTCTAAATTCACAAGCATTATAAGCAAAGATGGATATTGGCTAGCAGTGGAATCCAGTTTGACGCGCGTTTCGTCCTATTTGAGGCTCGTCAGCTGAGTGGATAACACGATGGCGTTTGAAGCGAAATGTATTGGGTTCGAGTCCCAAAGTGAACATCAACTCTGAGATGCAGGTACATCCAGCTGACGTGTCACAAGTAGGATGAAACACGCGTCAAACTGGATTCCACTGCTAGCAACGATCCATCTATGCTTACTATAGCATATACACTTCATTTTAAACAATGAATACTCTTCATATTACTTCAAATTTTAGATTAGCTATTCATTCAAATAAATCATGGTTGTGTTCAATTGGTGATGATAAATTATGGAAATTATGGAAAATTCCAAAATTAGAATTATTAATGGAATCTAAATTAACAACAGCAGATTGGATATCATCAATTGATTTTCATCCAAAAGAAGAAATTTTAGCAACAGGAATGGCTCAAGGTTCTATTCAAGTGAGTTGAATTTGTTTATTTGAATCTCTACATTAATATCTTGATCTGTAAGTGATCGATCTCTTTTCGCATATGGATATTCTATGTGGACTACTTCGATAACGCCTTAGGCCATAAGTTGATGAGTCCTAACTCCGACGAAACGAACATCCTAGATCCTACTTTCAGACACCATCTATCTCTGTTCAATAGCCTTTATTTGAAAATGAATTTAGTGATTGGAGTGGGTTGATAAGTTTATTGTAGCCTTTAAATTAAAGAGCATGATATTGAGGATGACTAAGTTTCAATGTTGAATAATTAGTTAGTAGTCTGTTACATTCTTCTCAGGAATACTTTTTCTCCAAATCAACAGAATTATGTACTCTTAAGCAATTTCGTTAATTCATTTTTGTATTGGTTGTTTGAATCCTTCCACTGATGTTTGGGACAATGATTGATCGGTCTCTTGTTGGCATATGAGCATTCTGTGCGGATCGCCATCATTTCTGCTTTGAATGTCATTAATATTGTAGTTCATTTAAAATGATGCATGGTACAGCAGTAATAAACAACACAGTCTAAAAATTTATAGATTCTATGAATCATTATCAGTTTAGTAGTGTGACTGGACGTTTCTGTACACGAGTGATTGTATGTTTCGTATGGGTTTTGATTTAGGGTGATACACAGCTTGATTGTTGTTTGATTTTGCCAAGTCGGTTAGTGAAGCCATGAACTTTCTCCGACTGACGTTTCATGGATATATGTTACATCTTCTAAATAACAGTTCATCTCAATGTATAATCTTGTATGGTTAATAAGCAGGATGTTTGAAGGCTAGAAGTGGACAAAATACACTATTGCATTAGTCTATGAAGAGATTGAGTTTTAAAATTGGCAGTGCCAAAAATTGTATTGTGCTACATCTAGAGCTTTGATTCTTGCTATGCCGTGTATTACTAGACCACTTGAACGATTGAACCCTTCAACGTCAAAAGAGAGAAGACAGAAGACTAGTAAGTAGGAATGTATTTCCAAACACAGTGTCAAATATAGTACAAAAGTCTCACGTATTTATAGTTTTTATGACTGAAAGTAAATCATCATTTCCGACAGCTAATAGGCACATAGGGAGTCCTTCTTATTCATCCAATAGGGAGCTACACGTCGATATTTTAAAACGTTCCTCTAACGGTGATTGAATGGAATGTCTTCGGCTCTTTCTGGGCTTCTTGAGGCTTCCTTGAGTTTGCCAACAAGCCATCTTTACAAATTGCTTGAGGGAGGTTTATATGACAATTGTGATAACATTTTACAAATCAACACTGTTAAGTTTGTTTACATTCTCTGCCCTTACTATCTCTCTCCCAACTCTTTTGTGTATATTTTCACACTACTTATTAATATTTCAGTAAATAATTGTATTCCTAGCAATTTTTAAGCGTCCGTTGTCAAACAAGTTTATCGTGTAATGTTCTAAAATATTTGCATATACTCAAAATATTTATTGTATTTATGATTATAATCACTTCCTCTCCATCTTTGTGGCAGTTTTTTGCAATTTTTATTTTTGTCTAATCCTTGTTTAAACTGAACGGTTTCCATAGTGTTTTCTCTTCGCACCGTTTTTACTTATTGATACCCTATTATCAAGATTAGACATAGCTATCAGTTGTCATTTGCACTATCGAAGCCTCTTTTTTTATTTCGCACTTACAGACGCTTTAAGCAACACAGATATCTGACGAGTTTAGAACCACTTTTTGGATAAATCGCTGTTATGTGAACTTCTATTTCGTGCGTTTCTCAATCGTGTGATTAGAAGTTTCAATAGATTTGACACACCGTAAAATGAAAAAATAAAAGTTTTTCGATTTAGTTGGAAAAAGCGAAACTTATTCTTATGTAACCAGATCCTTTGATAAATTTCAACGGAGCAAAAACGATTACATTTTCAGGATAAAATGAATTCACTACTTCTCATTTACTGAGAGTAGCTTGAAACTACAATTATCAATATGCTTATAGTGTAGTGTAGTGTACATGAATGTTAGAAACATAACCAAAAGAAATCATTATGATGTGAAGAACTGTACATAACAGTACAACGTACAACGGAAAACCTGGAAACACTGGACGGCTATTTCGTCCCAGTGTGGGCTCCTAAGCAGTGAACATCCACCATCCCGCTCACGAGATTCGTACACAGGTCTGTTGCGATAATGGTGGTCGGTAGTGCGATTTCGTGTATTGATTGAAGTTATAAATTAACACCATTGGATTATGGCTCAGCGGTCTAGGGGTTAGGCGCTCGCGCGCGAGACTGAAAGGTCCTTGGTTGGAATCTCGCGAGGCAGGATCGTGGATGCACACTGCTGAGGAGTCCTATAATAGCAAGAAACGGTCGTCTAATGCTTCAAGGTTTTCCATGGTGGTCTAGCTTCAATCGACTCATGATTTTAACTATAAAATTACTGAAATCTCCACAAAAACCTCTTATGATTTATAATACTCTTTAAATGATGTAATCATGAACTGTCACTGTAGTTTAATGCTTAACAGAATCCGGCAACATAACTTTTTAGTTTCTCAAATGAAATGCAGAGTCTTATTGTTGAACCTTAAATTTAATATGTTGAAACTCCCCTATAAATAGCACTATAAATTCTAAATTGATCATGGATAATATTTAGTATTATTAGTATTAGTCCTGAAACATAACACTAGTTGACACATATTACACATCCATACAGCAAGATATATGCAGTTTAACTAGATATAAAACAGTCAAATCAAAGTATTGTTTATCAGCATTATTGTAATCCATTTGAAAGTAATCCAGCGATTAATTGGAAACCTTATTGTTCACGGTTCTTATTGTCATCAAATGGAATGTTCTGTATCAGTGAATAATAGTGTCATCAAAGATTAAAAGGAAAACATTAATATGCAACCTAACTGCACACTATTTATATGTATGATCACGTTTTCTCCAGACTGACATTATATTACACATAGTATATAAGTAATGAAGAAGTATTAGTGGTGAAACTATAATTTGTGAACGACCTTTGAGCGACCCGAAAGTGGCCTTGAGAATGTCCATCTACTGACTAGGGCTACATGAAGGTTTTAAACCTGTGTGGAGGATAAAGATTGTGATTTACATTTGATGATTATGGTTAGAAATTAGATTTAGAGTTTTCATCACGAACTGACATCAGATAAAATGCTAAACGCTATTTAGCCGAATGGATAAAGGATTTCCCGCCGAAATCCATGATCTGTATTCGTAAATCTGATTGGTTCATTCATAAATTATAGTCTTGCTGTATTCGCTCAAGGTATTTGATGCTGTCGAGAACAAACAGGAGAATTGATCGATACAAAAACGATCAGTTTATAAATTTGTGGTATCAGAAAATAAATAACTGTCAGATTCAACTTCTCTGCGGAGTGTTAAAGATCAAATAGTGACCAAATAGTTTCAGAAATGATCAAAAATTGACTAAAGTAGTAAGTAAACAGTTTATAAGTGCATGATATTTGCTTATATGATTAAGTTGCTCATAGTCCGTTTAGGAGTTCGGTTATCATTTCCTACGCTTTGATTTCAGACATTTTAACAGAAACATCAGTATTCACAGAACACTGTTAATGAAGATTGTAATTCCAGATTATTGTTACTAAAAATTTCAAGTGATCAGTCTAAATTTTATTTATTTATTTATTTATGTAAACACATAAATATTGGTACAAGGAAGCACCGGATACATATGCACAACAGAGATCTCATTAGATTTGTGTGAAGGCTGTGATACTGTCCAGGTGCCCAAACCGAAGCAGGTGGTTTTCTTCGGGAGCCACAACCCGAGCCTTTGACCTAAAGGTCTGATCCACAAGGCAGTGGAGCATCGTGAGGAGATGCAGTTCCATGGTAGCTGGTGACCAACAATTGATTCATACACCATTTGTTCCCTCAGGAAACTGGAACCCATGTGCACCATTGGTTTGTAATCAGGGTTTTCCAACTTCCCTAGGTTAATCCTCCATATCCACCAACCCGGTTAAAGAGCCAGACATTTGATTTTCGTCCTCTCAATTTCGTAGAGAACACCCCCACCACAAGAAGGCAGTTAGTAGGACCTCTCTGACAGAGGCTGTACACACGTGGCCATGTGAGAGCATTTCGAAAGGGAGATCGGACTCTCCCCACTGCCGACCGTACCAAGGCATTTGGGGGAAGTTTCTATTAGTTTATCTTCATTATGTTACAAGTTTTATTGAATTAATGCAACGAAATATACATAATACGGCACTAGTTATGAGTTTCAGTGTGGAAATCAACATTAGTAAACAGAAATATAAAGCTGAGAAGTTCCAAATAGGATGTAAGGTGCACCCTGGATTCCATTGACAGAATGGGCTTAAACATTAATCTTGAGAAACAACATCCTTTGAAGCAACAGTTATATGTGTATATATGCATAAATGTTAAATTCTATTTCAGATATGGAAAATTGATCTTATCGATGATAAGATACCAGAACAGAATCACCCTAAACGTATTGGTATTTTACGACAACATACTGGAGCTGTTTGGTCTATGAATTGGCATTGGACTGGTACATATTTAGCTAGTTGCGGTATGGATAATACAATACGTCTATGGAATGTTGAACGCGCTGTGGAGTCATTTAAAATGAATAAAGCTTTATTAAGTACACATTCTACAACATCATGTTGTACAATACTTAGAGGGCATAGTAAATCAGTGAATTCTATTCAATTTTTGCCATATGGAAATATTTTAGTTACTGGTTCATCAGACAAAACAGTGTGTTTATGGGATGGTCGTTCGGTAAGTAACATTATTTTATTGACTTTTATTAGAGAATTTGTCAATTAAATATAAGTGTATATTGAGATGGTTAGAAGATTTGTAGTTCAGGTGGATGATTTTGGTGAAGTTTTGTTCTCTAAGCTGAATGGTTTGAATATGAAGCTTTCATCGTTCTTCTGAACGATATCATCAACATAAACTTCAGGTAAAAGTGAAGTATTTGGATTTCTCCACATATGACATCTAGTTTGTTCTGTAGACTTCGAAGGTCAACAATTACCAATCATGTTGCAGACCTACAGGACATTCTGGAAGTCATGTGGATAAATTCAAACACTTCACCTCCACGTGAAGTTTGTCTTGATGATATCGTTCAGAAGAACGATGAAAGCTTCACGACCAAACTATCCATCTCAGAGAACAAATCTCCGTCAAAATCTCAAGTGCATATTTATAGTAATATTGAACCATTTAACATCAATTGTTTGTATGCTTATGAAAACACATAATACACAGAAACAAATTTTTCATATACGAGTTCCGAAATCCATACTCAGAGTGATCAAAACACTTTGTTATAAATTCAACTTAGTATTGTTTGTTTGAATCTTCTCATCTACGTTTTAGGACTGCAACTGGTCAGTCTCTTATTGGCCATATATGCATACTGTGCATATTGCCTCGATATATACTTAATTCATAAGCATGGTAAGCAAAGATGGGAAGATTCAAACAAACAATACTAATTGAATTCAAAGGGACACACTTTGATTACATAGATACTATACAGCGAATGATGAATACTGATATTATCTTGAGTATTTTGTTTTCTTCTTCACATAACATAATAGGGTTTATGTGAACATACATTTCTTGGTCATACACATTCAATCAATGGTGCTATATTTAATCAACAAGGTACTAATGTCATATCATGTGATAGTGGAGGTTTTATTCGTTTATGGGATCTTCGTAAAATGGATCATTTTTCATTGGAAATTAATTTGCCTACAGTTAAAATGAAAATGCATAATCATGATAATAATCCTAATATAGGGGAGATGAAATGTTTACCTATTTGTTTTGATTTAAATAAAACTCGAAAATTGGATCGTATCAATCATCATCAACATAACCATCGTCAAAATCCTACACTCCTCTTACAACATAAACCATTAGAACAACGTAATAAACTTGGAATTAATCAATTGGTTATTGATTTAAGCAGTGAATATATTGTTGCTGCTTGTGATGATGCCAAAATTTATTGTGTAGAAATTTCAACGGGTCAAGTATGTTGTGTTTTGAAAAAATTTAATCAATATGTTGAACTGAGAAGTATGATAAGTATCCGAAGGGGTTTTGTGGAGATTTTAGTCATTTCATAGTTGAATTCATGAGTCAACTGAAGCTAGACTACCAAAGAAAACCTTGTAGCATTGGATGACCGTTTCGTTCTATTGTGGCACTCCTCAGCAGTGTGCAGCCGCGACCCTGCCTTGCGAGATTCGAACCAAGGACCTAACAGTCTCGCTCGCAAGCGCTTAACCTTTAGACCACTGATCCGGCATCCAACGGTGTTAATGTCGAAATTCAACCGATCCACGAAATTGAATGATATATCCACCATTGTCTTCAGTGAGTTGCTAACTCATAACAGACCCAGTTGTACATGACTGGTCACTGCTTCTCACTAGAACTTCAGGAAACACCTCTTGAAGACAGTCACAAATGAGCCGAGTCCGATAGATCCTGGGTTCGAATCTTGCGAGGCGGAGTAGTGGAGTCCTACAATAGGACAAAACAGCCGTCCAATGCTTCCAGGTTTTCCATCTTGGTCTAGCTTTAATTGACTTATGAATTCAACTGTAAAATTTGTTAAGTATTTCATGTTTTCTTTTATGTAAAAAAACTCACATAATGGTATCTGTTGTTGAATGAATCAATGTAGTAGATAATTGTCTCCCATTCGTTTGGTATAACTTTATAATGTTCGCCTAAAGTTTGACAAAGCAAATTTTCCCAATAAGTGTTCCCTGGCAGAGATATCACCATTAAAAGTTTTTATCTAAAATTGTAGAATTCTGAAGGAAGTAAATTGATTTCAGTAGAACTCAAACTTGAAGTACATGATTAACTGCTCTGATTGAGCATTAACCTGAAATCCTGTATTATTTTACTGTGAAAGATTACTTGACAGACTATTAATTCAATGCTTTTCAAGATACTAATTGGATTCTTGCCACATACCATTAATGTATATAAATGATTTTGTCAGCTGATATCTATCGATTCTGAGTACATTATATGAAGGCAGAGTCCATGGAATTGCATAGAACCCTAATCCATTAGTCATCATACTCAACAAGATCCTGATCATGAAGTAATCAGTGAACATCGAGCTCATTAGTGTCATTAGTGGCTAACGTTGATAAATCAGTCGACTGAATTAAATGAGGATATTCAGTATGTTCATTATGCTCTGTTTGTGATTTCTTCTTTCTATTATCATTTAAATATAACTGAACTCGGTAGGACCATTTTGACTGTAATAAATGGACAAAAAATCCAAGCACTCAATTCAGCTTGTGGCAGAATGGATAGTCATTGTATGGAACATCTTTAACGTAATGATACGTACTTTAATTAGTCAAACCATACCATCCAACCTTATAGTAATGTAGCTGTAAATAATTACCCATAATCAATAGCTTTGTAAGTGTTTGACATTGAATACTGACCACATTGTTTTTAGTGGACTCGTTTAACTGAAGACGCTCCGTCGTGCTTCCGTACCAGATCACGTTACAGAACAGCGTGGGAAATATCTGCTACTATCATTAGCCAGATTAGATCAATCGCTTCTCGATATATTGATAACCCATCAAATATATCTTCCAACGTCTTCGCTTCTGACTTCTGATTTTAACTGGGTGGGCACGATTCAATTATAGAAGGTGTTACTCGTAAAGAGTTGTCAAACTACAATACTGGTGGTATCTTCAGTAGTTTGAGAGTAATAGCTGAAAAGGATGAATAAACTCATTATATTAATCTCAGTCTAATCCTTTATATATATTTGTAAATCAACCGAATAAAACATCCCGCTTTCGACCGAATATATTATCCATTTATTTCTGAAACTATCTAGATCTCTACGTTACAAGGACATGATGATTCAGTTCAGTCAATTGTACTGGATTATGAGTCAGGATATTTATATTCAGCGTCCAGTGATCAGAAGGTATGTTCATGGATCTGAATGAAGAAAGGACATTTTTTTATACATCAGCGGCTGTGCATAAAATACAATCTTTTTTAGAAATATTCTACCACATAGATTCAAAAAACAATGAACTCAATAATGCAAAAGCTTTTAAATAAATTAATTTTATTCACTACTCTTCGTACTCGTCGTTGAATCAATTCTTCTTATTTGGTATCTTAACGGGTATGCTCTTTTCACGAAATAAATTTTACATCCGTTGAGCAAACTAATGACAATCATAACTCTGTAACTTAATGAATAAGGCGTAATCATCCGAAATAAAAGTCTCCCTATTCTAGTTTCTTTGTAAATAATAACATATGGATACATGTGAATCCCTGTTATGAGTCCCAAACGGGTCAAAATAAGAGTTTTCGACTCCACTACTAGCCCATATCCAACTTTAATTAGTCAGTAGATGAAGACAATTAGTGAAGCAGTCGCCTCTGTATCAGTAAGAATCAACGTTCAAAAAGGGAAAAGCGAGATCCTCAAATACAACACAGAGAACACCAACTCAATCACACTTGGTGGCGAAACTCTGAAAGATGTGGAAACATTCACGTACCTGGGAAGCATCATTGATGAACGAGGAGGAGCTGATGCAGATGTAAAGGCGAGGATTGGCAAAGCAAGAACCTCATTCCCACAGTTGAAGGATATATGGAACTCAAAACAACTGTCAACCAATATCAAAGTCAGAATCTTCAATTTGAAGACTCAATAAAGACTCAATGTGGGGAGCTGAAACGTAGAGAACTACTACATCCATCATCAAGAAGATACAAGTATTTGTAGACAGTTGTCTTCACATGATACTCATCATCCATCGGTCGGTTATCATCAGCAACAGCCTTTTGTAGGAGAGGACAAACCAGCTTCCATTTGAGGAGGAAATTAGAAAACGACAATGTAAGTGGATAGGACATACAGTGGGAAAATCACCAAGTCCTATCTTTGAATCCTGAAGGGAAGCGGAAAAGAGGAAGGCCGAAGAACATACTACGCCGGGAAATAGAAGCAGATTAGAAAAGGATGAATGTTAACTGGAAAGAACCGGAAAGGATTGCCCAGTACAGAGTTGGATGAAGAATGATGATGGGCGATCTATATTCCTCCACGAAGAGTAATAGGCGCAAGTAAGTAAGTAATTTAGAGTCATAATGACACAGGTTCACAATATATGCCACTTGACTGTGGGATGAGCGAAGCATGATCCATGTTTTTGTTTTGAGCTTCACCTCACTGAAATGTACAATCGTATCAAAACTATCATATAAATAAATTATTTATCAAATGTTTAAAAGACAGTGTCATTGTAGATGCCTAGAAAAGTTAATATTTATTCAAACATCCATGACTCCTCTTTGTTTTCAAACTAAAAGTTTGGAGATACAACCGGTTGGACAGAATCCGATAATGCATGTTTCCAAATATCTCCCGACGATTTTCTCCAGATGAAAGCAAGGACGTAGGAGATGATTGTTTTGACAGAACTTATCTGTGACTGTATAGACAGCCAGAGCAACGTCAGACATCTATCTAGAGGAATAGAAGTATTTCACAATGTTTCATATTGTAGTCTGTAAATGATTCTTGATGAATAGCTTTCAGCTAGTATTCTTTATTATAGCTAACAGTGTCAGTATCATTGTCAGGTATCCATGAAACTGATTATTTAGTAGCATGTTTACTACTCCAAATATCTCCTAAATACGGATGTTACGCGATTTATTCACATTCATCGTTATAAAGTGAATCATTACGAAGCTTTCAACAAAAGATATTTATTTTTCACTTTTTAGTTTGTTATATTTCACTGTGATGTCTATTTTAACATTTATTGAACTGATACTTCAATAGATGCAACCACATAATCACAATCAATTCAGAATGGGAGTAATATGTGACACATCAGCCGGCAGAAATTAAGCTACGTTGGGACCTCCATTTACATATTGACTGTCGTTTAAAACAGTACGTATGGTTTTTAAGTATCGTATGGTCAATTAAACATCAAGTATATCAGAACAATATTTATCCTCGTGACTTTGTACTTAGCCACTCGCTTCCATGATAATAGGACTTCTATGAAAATCAAGTTGATATAAAAGAATAAGGAAACAAAAACACTCAGCCAAATAAAGTAAAAATTGTCCTCTGTTTGGCTCTTGCAACAATACTTGACAGCATTTTGTTCGTCGGGGTATCAACATTTCTTTCCATTTGATGTACACTGTGAATATGACAGGCCCTATTACACCTTCTTGCACAAACGTAATACTTGCATGCCCATTGGCTGATTCGACAGAGCTTAGCATAATGATATGGTGACGATCTCTTAGAAATAAATTCAGCTGTGTAAATAGGGCTGAGGCACCTGTCTGAACATATGATTATTAAAAGATGAGGGTGCTAACAAAGCATATTTCGTACCCAGTCTAACATATTTGCTGTCGAATAGTCACGCTAATAGTATTGTGGATATAAAATTCACATGTGAATCAAATTCAGGATAAGTATACTTCATCCACAATAATGTAAAATAGGATGCAATGAATAGAGGGATGAGTATTCTATCCTTGTGAGTTGCTTAAGAAACACAGAAAACAAAACAATATATGCACACTATCATACGAACGTATGAAGAATTATAGTGTTTGTATGAACTAATATTTTTTATGTGCTTGATTTCCTGGTTGATTTCGAATTCGAAATACGCATGTTTCAAAAAGGGCAGTGATTTCGTACTTCTTGTGATTATTGTTGCTTTTATGTATTTGTGAGTAAATGTTTAGAGTCGAACGATCCAGATCCCAAACTTAGACAAGCCTATGATTTAGAGAGCCTCAAAGACTATATCCGTAGCATATTGCCAGATAATTCAAGGTGCTCAGGTCAAAAATTGGTTAGAATAGGTAAAAGGGTCGATGACAGTGTTCTACCCCGACCGTGTAGACTCCTTAAAATAATCATAGGGTCGTGATCTTCTGTAAGTAGCGCTAGTGGTCACGACAACTCTGACATCAAAGTAAGACCGGATATATCTCTTGAAGATAGAATAAAAAAGATGGTACTAGCTGAACAAGGAACCAGTCTACAAAACGGTCAGAAAAATCTTTGATTACTGGGTTCTCGAATAGTCAGATCTTGGAAACGAATGCTAACAAGGCCTGTATAGATAGGTCGTTCTGCCTGGGAGATTTATATGCCAGTACTCGTAATCCGAGACATAAATTCTATGAACTAGGAACACTAGTGGATAAATTAAGGCCACTCATTGTAGCTGTGATGCGAACTTGGTTAGTCCATGACTTCGACATTACCCCAGAATTATCTGGAAACCACTGCTTGAGAAGTGATAGACATAGATACAGGAAAGGAGGTGGCTTCCTTTTATACATAGCCAATAATATAAACATCCTCTCCTCTGTTTGCGAATCCCATGACTGTGTAACTAGTGAAGTTATTAGCTGTGAGCTCACTATCGGATGTTGTACATTTGTACTTGATGTCATCTATCGCAGCCCAATCTGAAATGGGAATGGGGATGTTCACTTGGGCAGATTAAAAATCTTTAGATGTGTCCGGATAATATTAGTGAGATAAATGATCACCAGCAAATCTTTATAGCTCGAGTTGATCAGTTGCTTCAAATGATCAGAGTCTAATTTGAGGATTGAGAAAATTAACTGTGCTATGAACCTCCCAATTTTGAGGTCAGCTGGACATTTCTTTTCCATCCTCTCACTTTCGTAAACAACACCCGCGCCGCAAGATGGCAGTAAGTAGGACTTCCGTGGCAGGGGCTATATAAGCGTGGCCATGTGAAAGCATTTCGAGAGGGCATTTGGGGACCGAATACTAGTACACCATGGATAAACAAACAAGTCGGGAAACTTCTGAGATGTAGGAAAATGCACTGGAATATGTTCATCTCTACTGGCTTAGAACAGTACAGATCCAGTTATTACAAGATTAGAAATAATTGTAAGGTGTTAATTAGCAAGACTAGACGGTCATATGAAACACAACTGGTTAGGGATTGTAAATATAGTCTAAAACGGTTATTCTCATATATAAAGAGGCGAACTCAGAAAAGTGATGGAATCCCATCACTTTTGGTGCAAGAAAATCCTTTAATATACGCACGAAATGATATGGAAAGAGCTGAATCTTTATCAGAATATTTCAGTAGTGTTTTCCATCGGTGATGAGGAACGACCAACTGTTCGTTGTGATTGTGGCGGTTTGTTGATAGACCCTGTATTTATTGAGAAAGATAATGTTTTAAGACTACTTCAGCATCTCAAACCTGATAAATCCCCTGGTCCTGATGGTATTCATCCTAGGATTATGAAAGCCCTTGCAGATGTAATTGCTGAAACCTTAGTGATACTGCTTGATATATCCCTGCGGCAGTCCAGATTGCCCAGGGACTGGAAAGACGCGATAATTAGTCCAGTGTATACGGCTGGGAGTAGAGAATTAGTTGGTAACTATTGACCCGTCAGCTTAACCAGTGCAGTTGTAAAACTGATGGAAAAATATTCGGATGGCTGTTATGAACTATATGGAAGGACAAGATCGAAATATTCCCGTAGATGTGATTTTCACAGATCTGAGTAAAGAGTTTGATAAGATCTCTCATTCTGGTCTTAAATTAAAACTGGAAAGTTTTGGTATTCATTATGCGGTCGTATACTAGATAAGTGACTTTCTACATGACAGGAGTCAAAGGGTAAGAGTAAATGGAGCTCTCTCATCGTGGAAACCTGTGAAAAGTGGAGTTCCCCAAGGCACAATCCTCGGTCCTCTTCTCTTTTTACTTCATGTAAATGAATTACCAACTGTAGCTGAGTCATCCGTACTACTCTCTGCCAATGACATAAAGATTTGGAGACCCATATACAGCATGTCAGACAGAACAGTATTACAGTCGTTAGTGGCATGGATTGACGGGTGGTCACTGAAAGCGAATCCTAACAATAGTG